CCAATACACTCGGGTCGGACAAACAATAAACCTCAGTTTCATTTTGGTCGGACAGAATGTCCGGTGGTTTCCTCTCTACGTCGGACAATTTCACGAATGGGTCGGACAATGTCCGTGACCGACCGATATTTTAAGGCCTGTCAGATGTGGTCTTGGGAGTATTTATAGGTTAAAAGATATTTGAAAGGACTGTTCGTATCTACAGCTTGTTTCCCAACGTCAGATCTTGAATAACGAGAGAATTGTGAAAGACGTCCCAAGTAATTTTTCCACCATTAGATTAGACAATTCGTGCATACCATTGTTGTCAGTCAGTTAAGGATAAGATTACAAGAGCTTTCATGCATGGCTAGTTTCAACATATGGCATATCATCCTGCCATGGATGCTTGAATTTGGTAACCATCGACGCGTATGTTGTCCCAAAGATACAACCAAGCTGAAGAAATGTGCTAATATTTAGCGATGTTCCAACAGCTGTTAATGATATAATACTCATAATCCTGCATTTTCTGCCTTCTCGAAAGCCATCCTCACAAGTTGCTCTTTTATATATTTGCTGATATCTTGTCACAAAGAAAATAGCCGATTGGAAACTTCCAGTGTGTAGGCTTTCTAACAAGATGGAATACTAGTAAGTGTTTCTGATGCCAGAGTATCGGGATCTGCAGGATTTACTGCTCTATCGATGATGAATCCAGCATATTGGTCCACGTTTGGATCCCATACGGTTTGTTTGTAAATAGATATGGCATCAATTGTAAAACAACAGACTGAGTCCTTTTTCATTGTTGAATTTCCCCATTGACTACAATGATTCAAATATCTCTTCAAGAAAACCTGATTCGCAATCCACAGAGATAGACCAGTTTCTGATTAAATATGGGTTTGGTAATGGTAGGAATAGAAGCAAAGTGTTAGAACAAATTTTTTTATATTATCAGCGTATCTTTCGTTAGATGGAGAGATAATGGTGTAGTTCTTTGTATTGTAGAAAATTGATAGTTGGTGTTTGTGAAATGATGCATGTAAACTGTCACCTATTTCAGTTTTAATAATTAAGTTATCTTGTAAGTTATTTACTATATTTCCATGTTTATCATCTTTGTTTTGCATCTTCTTAATTGTTATCGAAGCTAAATTTCTTACTTTAGTTTTTATTAATTATTTAATATTTTATTTTTTTTCTAACTAGTACCGACTTTTCAAAGATAAAGTTAATTTTTGGCAAATTAAAGTGGCTTAATTAAAATTGTTCTGGAGTCATAGAAAAGTTCTTCATTCACACGTTGGGGTAAGAATCTAAAAATTCACAATTACCTCAACATGAAAAAGATAACGTGTTAAGAATTGTTCTTACTTTTGGAGTAATGTGTTCCAGTTCACCATTTTGAATTCTCCACAGAACGTGTTGTGTGCTGTCGCCACCAATACCAAAATTAAGTGAGCCCAAAGGCTCGAACAGTTGGTCCCAAATCTATCAAACGGATATATTGACATTAGTTACAGTGTTACCTACTGTTTTTCGAAGTCAGTGAGAGAGTATTCAAATGTTCAATAATGATTTCAATATGCAAAAATATGCTCAAAGAACAATTAGTTTCCGCACAGATGACGCATTTCATGTTTTGACTGAAAAGCCTTAATGCACTAGTTATTAAATTAAAATCAACCGTTGAATTTACAAACACAGGGCCGTGTGGAGGAACATAAAATTGGGGAAGCACTGCATCTTTGGGGGGTCGCGGGTGAGGGCATGTCCCTTTATGTATTTTACCGATAAACCTGTACGCTTCTGTTAAAACTCCAACTTGTCGCGTTATTTAACGGCGTAATTGGCTGGCCCTGAATATACTACCTTAAGTGCATCTTTCTTTATTTTGCTTAACGCAGACGAAAAAATATGCGAGTACAAATATTCTGATTAGTATAGGTAATCATGCGATGTTGCTCGTACAATTAGAGATTAATAGTACTCGTGATGTTTGGAAATTTTGCCAAAATTGGACGAGCCGCCGTGTTTATTATTAGCATATGACAAAATTGAATACTTCTCCGTCAAGATCATATTCTCTCGCCAAAGCCCAGTCCTGCCAGAATTTCAACCAAAATTTGGTAATTTTGTCCGTATTTTCATTTAGTTCCTCAAGGGCAATTTCATTTCACATTTGTGTTCAAATACCTTTCCGCCACTTTGTTTGTTTTGGGAAAATCATTAATTATTGTACTGCAGTACAATTAATGAAATAATTGTACTCCTCTCAACCAATCAGCATGCAGTAATTTTGTCATGCTAATAATAATGTGAAATACAACTGGACGATTGAACAGTTCAATTCTTTGATATGCATATTGTAATTGCATTTAATTATTCCACTCTGAGCTACATGTTATGATTCGACTGCAATTTTATCCAGACGCAGAACGCGCAATTTGGATGTACAGTCGACCTTAATTATAGTCTGATTCATGTCCTTATTGTTCATGAATGTTGACTCTAACCCTTACCATGACCACTGCATATCCCTAACGCATAAACAGCGAGGCATGAATTTATAAACCTGTATGCAACTGTAGGAACGCAGCATGCCCACTCCAGGAACTGTAGGAACGCATGCTCACTCCAGGAACTGTAGGAACGCATGCTCACTCCAGGAAAAATGCAAGACTAAAGCCCGTTTTCCACTAGGCGAATTTGTTCGCGCGAACAGATAAAAAGTAGGAAGCGATCCTACTTTTTCGCCGCGAATTTTTTCGCCGACCAATCACGTTGCCGGATTTCGGTTTTCGCTTCGCGTCGCGCGAAAAAATTCGCCTAGTGGAAAACGGCCTTTAAGGAGCACCTGTTTTTCCAACAACTGATGGATCATGGAGTCACCAATAAATAACAATTCACATTTTGAAGACATATTCTTGGCTTCTCTTATAAATCTGTTATGCTAATGAAAAGAAGGCAAGTATAAACAATCAATATTATAGCCTCTATATGGATGTGTAAAATTAACATGACTATAATAATATTACTATACATAGATGATTGGACCAAAAAAAATATGTGGGTTTCCGGTTTCCCGACCCTACCTAGCTTTTGGACGTCGAAATCCCGACCCTAAACTTTTTTATTGGATCATGCTTGTAAGTGTTTCCACTTAGAGGGAAAAGTTTGTGGAAAATTGAAATTTGAGGCAATATTAGGGAAATTTATCTTCGGATGTGGAAGCACTGACTAAACAAAATGGCGTCCGATTGTTAGGAAAATTTGAAAAAAAGTTTAAAAAAAAAAGTTAAAACCGACCTACCCTACCTAAGTTTTTATAAGAAGAAACCGGAAACCCACATATTTTATTTTTGGCCTTTAATGCAGCTATAGACTAAATTTCGATCTAGACAAGAAGAACAAAATCCATCACCACAGCTAGAAAGAGCATGTTAAAATGAGTAAAATTGCAAAGTTTGGTTGCGAAATGTTGTAAAAGATCATTTTTAGATCAAAATTTAATCCATAGCTGGAATCATCTATTATTAATTATCATAATTATTATTTTGCCTCGCCGTTTTTCACCTCGTTGTTCTTTAAGAGCCTCTGAAACGAAGGTAAGTATGGTAAGTATATCTAAAGTTAATAAATTACTTACCATACTCATCCACCTGCCATCTCCTGCATCTTGTACAGGCACTGCTACCGCAGCAGGATTGCTCATCACTTGCGGCAGTTTATTTCTTTTTCTAAAATACACAATCACGGGAAAACTAATATACAGATGAGCTTATACATCTGCAACCGTAATATATGCAGCTTTGTAGGCATGCACCCCTCAGTAACAGATTTAAATCTCGCCTCCCTGGCAGACCTACCTTTCTCATCACTCAGGGCAGTTTTTCAACTGTATGCGCGCCAGAGATTTGTTGTCCCTGATGAAGAACTGTTTTTATTTGCATACACTCAGTCAGGTAGTTTTGATTTCCTGTAATCTGATTGGCTGTACCCCCTCTGCAACCCCCTGGCCAGGGCTAGGGGGTGCACCCAGTAAATTCATCGCCCGCCTTGGTGTATTTTGCATCATGATGAAAATATTAAGAGTTTGTACCCCCCCAGTTTTGAAAGAATTACAAAATCGGTCCTGAAGAAAATTGGGGGGGGGGGGGATAAGGTCAGGTGTCCCAGCAGATTTGGACCCCTCTCAAAATGGACACCCCAGCCCAAATCTGCTAGCAAATATGGACCGGGAAGTCCATATCTGCTAGTGAATATGGGCCTAGATGGGAGTCTTTATTCCGGCGCTGGCAGATTTGGATTCCCCTCGCGAATTTGGACCCCTTGAGCACATATTTTATCATTGTATCGTTACGGTATTGTATTTTGAATGTACGTATCAAATGAAAGCGTTTTAAATAGTCTTAAATTATCATAAATCTCATCTGATTTAAATAATTCCATCAAATCTTAGATTTTTAGATTAAAGAATTCCATCAAAGTTTATGATTTAAAATTTTGCTGCAACATGCATGGGTTTATTTCTATGATCCTGGAATGTGCGAGAAGCGCATGAAGCCTTCACAAGTATTAATTACTCCTTGGAATTGCTCTCTGCTCTGACGCTTTACTGCTCAAATAAAAACGGAAAATGAAAATATATTTCAAATTATTTTTTCCTTAATTAACATACCCATAAGTTTATAACAAAGTGATGCTTAATAATCAGGGTTCGAATTAGCGGCTCGCTATCCGCAATTTGCAATGCAAATTCGCTTTTTGGGTAATTGTTCCATGTTTCGCGCACTAATGTAGTAAACTTTATGTAACAGTGCTGTGCGCCGGAGCTGCCGGAGTTCTGCCGTGTCCGCAGTTTTTCCGACGCCGGAGCCGAATTTTGTATGCCGGAGCCCGGAGCCGGAGTTTATGTTTTCCCAGCTCCGGCAAAATGACAAGAAAACAATATGAAATGCGACAAATGTCAAACGATTGTTAGTTACTGCAAACTGCCAATTGCTGTTAATGAATTCATCATAGACTCAAACTGTCACAGCCCACAGGAACAGCGTCAAAAGCTGTAATACGATCGCAACTTACAAACGTCATAATGCTTTCATGAAGCCATCTGACTTAGCGCTACATAGTCTGTTTATTCATGCCTTGTAGATAACGAAAAAGTATGAAACAAATAAATATCAACCTTTTGAAAATGACAGAGTACTTTGTTTGCATGCGAACAATTGCGCTGTGGAGTCTGAGAGTGTTAGCGTCATGCCTCGCGTCATGCTATATAAAAATTGCAACACTGGCTGGTTTCCATATAGATATTTTCTGCGTGGTTAAATGTTTTCACTGTTTTGTTTCCTGAGTTATGTTATCTGATAAATAGGAAGCACGAAAAGAGTTATTCATAATAATATTAATAAATGTTCTCTGATCGTAAAATATTAAAATATTTATTTAATATTTTATGATGTGGCCGGAGCCGGAGCTCAGAACTATAATTCGGCCGGAGCTGAAAAACCGGAGTTTGCACAGCACTATTATGTAATGGATATTATTATATTTATAGTGTACTGAAAAGTTAACTGGATACCTCCATACACATATATACACACCCTAACCCCTAACCCTAAAACCTAACCCCTAACCCTAACACATAGTAACCTCTAACCCTTACCTATATTGGTGCGCAAAACATGGAACGATTATTAACCGCTTTTTTCGTTCTTTAATTTAATCTTGAAATACTTGTTCAATTTAATTTTAGCCAAAATTCCAGAACCAGGACTACCCCTATGGGGAGGGGGCGTGGTTTTCGGATCGACAGATTTCACAGAAAAATCGGCGATCTGGCGGATATTTTACACAGATTTGCGGATATTATTAATACAGCGGATTGCGGATTCATCTAATATTTTGGCTCGGATTGTGGATTTAGCTTGCAATTTAGTTCGGATCCTGGATTGTGACTTCATAGTAGAGCTTTTAGCGGATTCAAATTTAGACAGGACCATTGTCGGATCGCGGATTTTGCTTCAAATTTGGGCGGATCGGCGGATTTGTAATATACCCCTATTCACACCACCCCCTATAGCAGACCATTTGACTGTGGTTTCTGCCTGTTCGGGAGTTGCCTGGGAGGGGACTGAGCACAGTTGGATTCCCTGTGGGTTGCCTGGGAGGGGATTGATCGCGGTTGGATTTGACTCGTACATTAGATAAATCATAATTTCAATTAATTAAACTGACGCCTAAATTTCCATGCACATGCATTCAACCAGACCTGGAAATAATTCTAGCCTTTGTTGGATCCCAGGCCAGGGGGGAAACTGATATTTTCTTTGAAAACACTGTTATCAAATTTAGGCAGGGGGGGCATTTTCTTTGAAAATTACACTGTCATTGCTAATTTGATGCGTTTATTACTACCAAGCGTTTATTACTACCTAATTTGACATTTGCAAGTTGTGTCATATGATAAAGAAATTTAAATGTCAAGGAATATTTTTATGTATGCTGAAGTGAAAAAACCTTTTTTGACCGATTTGTGCATCAGGTGATCATTTATATCAGCGTTAATTTTCAGTTCTAAGAAAATTTGGGAAATTTTGAACCTTTTCGTTGATTTTTATGGATAACTTTTTTTAAAGAAATTTCAAAACTTTTGAAAATCCTTTCTAGCAATCAAAACATTTTCCAACCTCGTATCCAGGGCTAGTCGCGAATTGAAGGCGGCGACATAGCCCTGGTAAACGCTGGTCACGTGACTCCAACATTACATAATTGTTACTTTTCTCAACCGGGGGGTGAATAGGTGAAACTCGAAGACAAACAGTTTTTATCTCCGAAATTCTTCAATCTTCCTTGTGAATTTTGCACTTCAAGTTTTTCTCAAAGTACGGCGATCGATCAAATGGATCAATACTTTCTGTAGAAAAAACTCAGTGAGATTTGTTCCAATGAGACGTTTAAAAGACTTGGATATGTCGCCAAAGACGCTCGATCATTATTTGCACAGGTTTATGGAATAGTACTTTGTTCAGTTTGTTGCGACTTGCGAAGCAAATGAATGCAAATTCAACTCTTGTATAATGACTAAAAGTTGGTTTGTAGAGGGACAACTTATACAAAAGAAATGAATACATTAGCTTCAAACTTGGGACAAGTTCATGGACAATGGACATCCCTAATATATGGACATTGACATTTCACCAATATGTAAATATGACTATTAAATATATAAAAGGATTGCTGTTGTATTACTTGTATATGTATATGTACAAGTGTTGTGCTGTGGTATTTACGTTTTTAACCCTTTAAGTGGCAATGGGCCATCCATTTGATATACACCCCCCCCCCCGCCCCTATGGACTAGAATTTCTGAGGGGATTGAAAAAGCCATTTCTGAGGGGTTGTGTGCATCAGCATCCTTTGATCTTTGCATTTTTTCTGAGGGATAAGGCAAAAATTTCTTAATTTCTGGGGGGGGGGGGTGTTGGTGTCGGCACTTTGATTTTTTTCTTCTTAGGGGTTCAAATTTTATTGAACTCGCCCATAGGGGGGTGTATACATTAAATGGAATGGCCCAATGCACCCTACTTTGTTAGTTTACTCTGCCTAACACCAGACAATTTTACTCGTCAGGTGGAGAGTGCATGGCGCCACTCAATGGGTTAACATAGTCGATGAACATGCCAAATGATCCTTGACCGTGGTAGTGCATTTTTGCACTTGCTGGATGATATCGCAAACAAGCATTGTTTCAGAGGAAGAGCACTGAGATCATGCTGTGTAGCAATTGGAATCTCGCACAGAGTCTGCTCTCACATAAAGCAGGCAAGACCTTCACTCAGAAGCCAGTCCTGATTAATATTAATTCCCCACATAAACACTTGGAAACCAGACTGTCCCATCTGCCATATATGCAGGATAAAAAAACATGCAGCCTGGACTTTAACTGTTAAACAACCAAATCAGCATGATAAACAGTGTGATGATTTTTGCTTAGCCCATACCAAAGCCAGTTTTCTAGAATTAATTTGCAGAATCCTAAGAATTGGACCTCCAACTTGAAGAGCTAGCTGTGCTAACCAAGTTGCATGGGCAACCCTGAATTGACGTGACTAGAGCAAACCTTCAAAAAATAATAGAGAGATCAGATTTGACTTCCACTACTGCTATTGCTATCATTAAGACATTAACTATTAACCAGATAAGTTTCATTTATCCAATCAAACAATCAGATGCAACTGCCAGATCAAGTAGTGGTAGTGGAAGTCAAATTTGAACCTTTCTATATGGATTTCAGAGAGACCAGTCATTATTTGCTGATATATTATTATAACTTGTTTAATTAATCAAAAGCTACTATATATTCATTTATGATACTAAAAATTGATATAATTTTATCTATAAAGTGAGAATAATTTAAAAAAAAGTTAATTCATAACATAAAATGATTCATGCATGCTGGTGATTGAATAAACCATGAAGTGTGCATTCTGAATCTCTACAAGTTCCTTGACATTGTTTTTCCAGTACAGTGTAAAACTATATAAATAAATGTGACACAGGTTGCAGGTATTAGGTTGCATGTCCACCAGTGTGCTGAAATACCATCCAGTGACCCGGTCTTGTTCATTGTTACTTGCATCTTGATTAATTCAACTGTTTTTGCCCCATTTCTTGTACCCATAAAGTTCTTTTCAATAATCTAGAAAACTTCAAAATCATTCAGTAAATTTAATTTTAAAATTGGGTGAAAGGTAAGGGGTCAATAATAGATGAAGAAATCATTTCTTATTGTTCATACATATGGCCCCCATCTCTGTCAGGTATTAGAGTAGAAATTTAT